GATAGTAACATCCATCCGTTCCACAGACAAAAAACCCTTGAAGCAGAAAAGCCTTGGCTAAGTGATTCAAGGTCACTAGCAGCACCTGCCAGCAAAACACTAACCCAACTGCCTTCCCACAGGTAAGAGCAGAATCTAGTCACCAGGGAACCCTCTAACTGAACTGTGATTTTTTTCCCAGGCCTTTATTTTACCTTTAGCTTTATTGTCAAGCCACACACAATTTCCTCCTGCTTCTTTGGTCTGTAGGCATTCTGAATTCTTCACTGCAGGGTGCCCACCTATCAGGAACCTGATCACAGTACCCTTAAGGCTGGCACCAAAATCAGGATTTGCCTGTCATCCTAAGGCAGGCCCAGATTGCTTGTTAAAGCTCTGTATAAATGGTGATTGTTTATAAAAACTAACAAACGAGATGAGGTTTTGTCTGATCTTGACTGGCTGAACACTGCATCAACTCCTATCATACATAAGAAAACCCTGTGTCATGTTGACAGATTTGTGACTGAAGGCTCTTTAGCAGCCAGTACATTTTAGGTATTAGACACTGCCTGTACACTAAGGGATTATCTCTCCATAGCTGGCTACTCACACTTCAAGATCAGCAGAGAACCTCAAAGCATGGTAGATGCAGAAGAATAACAATAGTTCTGAAAATACAACTTTCAAAACGTCCTAAGGCTGATGACTCAAGGTCACGGCAAAATATCTGTCCACCTAGATACAGTGCACAAAGCTACCCGTAAGCCACAGGCAGCATTAACTGTATTATCTCTTAGTATTTGTAATCTCTTCCTGGGTGTGGGCTACTGACTCACAGATGGATTTTTGACGGTTTCTTTTTCTTCTTATTTCACTGAAGGGCTTTTATCTTTGCTTTGAGATACTGGTGCATTTGAGCACCATCACAGAACCATAGTTAGAAACTGATACATTCATAAACACTCCCCCCCCCCCCCCCCACAACAACATAACTAGAACCTATCTACACAAAGCCACCGCATACCCGCAGCACAGCGGCTGAGCACAGCCCGTGGCTGTGGCTCCGTGCACAGGCCACATTTTGGTAACTGGCCCAGCCCGATTGCATCTGGTTTTGTTGGCACCCTGGCCTGCCCAGACAACGTGCCAGGGAACGATGACTCCTTAGACACCTCCTCCAAGATTCTGCTTGCAGGGCACTTTCAGACAGTCTAAGGAGACTTTGATCTGATCGGTTTGGCGATTTGCAGGGCTACTAATGCTGCTAAGCTAACTAAACTCCACTCAGTTAGGTAAGATTGGCAGATATATACTGTGTTGCACTCTATCAGCTTAACAGCTCACTAGCTGTGTGTAACATCTTAATTAGTGTTTACCAGTACAAAGGGTGAGCAGTTAGGCTGAGCAGTATTGACTTCTTTGCTGTGTTAAATGCTAAAAAAAAAGGAAGAAAACAATTCCATAATCTGATCACCTTTTCTCAGCTGCTCTGCTGCAGCCAGAGCCTCATGCAGAGTGACGCCTGCTCCAATCACGGTCACATGGTCATCCTTACTCTTCAGAATCACCTGCAAGAAAAAGTTTCTAGATATTTTTAACCACAAATCTTAGTGTTATTTCTAACACTCTGGAGATTTTACTAAAAAATCAAATATTTGGCACTGGAATGCTTTAGAGGAAAAGGTGTTTTTACAGGAGGAATTCTGCATGTTTTTTCTGACTGTCTGGGAGAGATTTACCTTCGCCTGTCCAATGTGGAAGTCCTCATTGTTGTTATAAATGACAGGATTTTCAGGACGACTAGTTCTTATGAAACAAATGCCCTGTATTCGAAGTAAACACATTAAAGGTTACAAAACCAAAAAGGTATTAACATTCTAGTCTGTAAACTCTATGAAAAAGACAGAGCACTTGATGATCATCTCCTCAATAAATTCATCTTTTCATATCCAGCTTCAATTTTGACGCCAGAGATATCACGCTGGCAGTGTACTTTCTTGAAGTTTGCTAAAGACCAACGAGAGTTACACGCGCCCTCATTTCTGAGCCAACTGAGACCCAAACCACAATGGCTGTGTAATCACTTACATCTCCCCAAAAGCGGCCCACGGCATGTCAGACTGCTCATTCTGCACTAGCCTGTAGAGAATGCCTGCAACCTTGCCATGCAAAGAAAACGTCCCACTGCCACGCTGGAGGCATTTATGTGGGTAGAGACATGTAAGAAACATGCCAACAAAAGAAGTAAAAAAAAAAGAAGAAAAAAATTAGTCAGAAATACTGTGATGCAAACCTTGGTGTTGGCAGCTATTTCCACTGCTTTTTCCGTGGCTACAGCATCACTAGGATAAAACACGGTGGCATTGGGAACAGCACGGAACATGCACAGATCCTCCAGTCCCATCTGGGATGGCCCATCCTCACCTAAAAGAATTAAACCAGGGTTACAAAAGCGTAACTGAAAATTTCTGACAATCACTCAATACAGCAGTGAGGTTCAATGCAAACCAGAAAAAAAATAGTAGTGTAAAATCAGGCACACACAGGACATGCAAGTCTACCTGCTGGAGTAAAGAATCATCTTCTCCTTAAACTTGGAACCATCTAAACAGTAAATAAGGATAGAAAGACTAAAAAGAAAGAGAACTAGGGTTAAAAAGAAAAAACTGAAAATAAAGTGTAACAATAAAACAACACAAAAGACGACGACTAAAGAGGGTACAGATTCTAAAAGAAGCATCATAAGATACCTGAGCATCTTCATATTTACACACACTGAGGCTGCACAAGCAAAATTTTACTTGCCAATAGTGCTCCTCTAGGATTTAAACTGCTGGAAATGTGAAAGGAGAATTGCATGTGTTCCATCCGAAATGGAGAGTGCAATTGGTACAACTACTCTCAAATTCTTAGGTTCACTTCAACATTAAATGAAGGGTATGTATTTTTCAAGACTATAAAAAGTCTTTTAAAGAGCAACAGGGCATTCGCGTTGCTAGTTTAACAACTCCAGCACCTTATGGCATAAACTGCAGATGCATGAAAAAGAATCGTTAGCCAGAACATGTGCTGGATGCCACGATTTTCCGTAGTTAAAGAAACAACCACCACAACACCCCCCACCCCCAACGACCTTATGTAACGGTGCTTTGGGAATGGCACTGCTCCAAATTAACCATGCAGAGAGCTCCAAATCCAGTCATGTCACAGCCTGCAGAGCAGAAGCAGGGCAAGAAGCCTTCCCCCATGCAGCCACTACCTGTTCCTCAAGAAGGACGAGTTCGCGAGGAAGGAGGAGAGTACTTTCATCAGAGCAGCGCAAAACTCTGAGGAACTTGAACATGTTAAAGAAAGCAATCATGAACTCTGCCACTACACGTTACTGATAAAATAAGCACGAAGCGAGAGAAGAGAGTGTCTTGGCTTTCAGTCATGACATGAAAAGAACTCTCAACATCACAGTGGGTAAATCTGTATGCACTCTGGCTGAACGAGCGGCATCTCGGTGGGCTTTTCGCTTTCATAAAATGCACCCAACACAGGATGTGCACAGAAGAAAAGTGAAAATAGAAAGAACAAAATCAGCAGGTAACTGAATGAGAATCTTACCCAAGGGGAAGAGAGCACTCGTGATTGCCTTACTTTTGCTAATGTGGTGCCAATAACTCCAGCATTCCCAGTTCATACTGGTAATTTACAGACTGGCACAAAGCTGAGCTCGGTCACAAATGCCTCTTTATGAAAATCCTGATTCATGTGATTTTAGAGTAACACAGATCAAAAGAGAGTTATTTTCAATTACATCTGCAAAACCTACATCTATAGCTTAATAAAAAAGAGTGCTACTATGAACAGTACCACATGTCTAGAATATAAAACCAGTTGTCTAAACAATGGGTATTTTGACACACATACACTACGATTCCTTTCCCTCTATGTTCAGTTCTGAAAGCACAGATTTTCTATTATTCTCTTATGATCTTGAACACATATTTAACATTTTATTAGATGGTTTGGCCCATCAGCAACTACTGGTCTAGGAGTGAACTTAGTACAAATTCAGAAGGTCATTGTGATAGTTATTTCTCATAAATTTAATGGGTCCAAATTTCAATGCAGCAGAAGCCCAGGTCTACCTAGACCTGCATAGATAAAACTTCCATTTTCACCACAGATCCAATTAGGATTCCGAATTCCATACAGGTCCAAAGTTCTAAGAGGAAGTACACTTAATTCATACCCTTCCATTTAAAATTGAATTTTCTAAGTGCAAAAGGATTTATCTGAATTCTGTTACAACTCAGTTGCAAAAATTTGGGTTCAAATTCATTTTTTCAAAATCAAAGTTGAGGCCTGAATCAGATCTGTAACTCAAATAACTTTATACATCTGAGTATGCACTTCACAAACACAGCTCCCAGCAGAACATTTCGAGTGCTGAAAATTTAAACTTGTAAGTGTAGTTCTAGGACAATATTCAGGAAACTCAAAGGAGTTTTATCTTCTTAAAAGAAGAAAGACCAAAGCCAATTGCCTTTTGCACCAACACCCTTTGCTGCTTGCTAGAAGACTTGAACTGGATTGAAGTAGGCTATGATGAGGTGTGAGGACTGATTTTAAAAGGAAATGAGGCTTGTAATAGAATCCCTCCCTTAATGACATACACAAGCCATAATCTGATATACTCACAGTCTCCACTACTAGAGCATACTCTAGTCTGCTGCAAGTTAAGCTTGCGGTTTTGGATGAGACTCCATGTGTTTATGAAGCATTCTTAAATATTTACCAACATCACAGATCAAACTAACTATTTTGCTTTAAACAAAAATACCCCAACCATCCTCCAAACCATACTGCTGGCCAAAACTATTATATCAACTGAAAACCAGATGTATAGAGAGAGCTTTAATTTACAACCCCTGTCAGCTCTCCCTATCTTTCTTTTCCCCTATAAATACCTGGTAGGTTTTCAAGCATGAATGTCTACCGGCATTTTCCTTCTTGCTATGCAAGTCTGCTCCTGTCTTCATAGGTGATATCTATGCATTTCATTGAAAAAGCAAAAACTCCCTTCCTCCCTCAAACCAAAATAAAAATGTAATATGATCTGACACATACCAACAGTTATGATGGGAAGCAAAGGCCAGAGAAGGTACTTCTAGTGAGGGCCCTCAGCCTGTTGCTCTGAGCCGTGCTGGCTACACCACAGTACACCTGAAGTCTTATGAAGAGGAGCCAGGGGCTCCTGAGGCAAGAGCAGCCAGGTGGGAAAAGCCAGTGAACCACCTCAAAGGAATTAAGGAGTAGGGGACAGCCGACAGCCCAGCTGAAGGGCCTCCACACCAATGCACGCAGCACGGGCAACAAACAGGGGTTGGAAGCCACTAGGCTTCTCATTGCAGAGGACATCAACTGCAAAGGTGGAAAGGAATCCAAGCTCCTTGGTTTCAATCCAATCCTTTGATATCACTCAATACTTGTAGAGCAGAAAAGCTTTTAGGGAAAAGTCCTACTTGTATCTGGCCAAACTGATAAAAGAGAAATAAAGCAGATGAGCCGATGAAGGCTTGATCTTTCTCATCCTTTCTAAATGCAACGTATCTGATGAATGGTAAATATGACTTCTTCCTATAAATGGTGCCTCTGCTGCAACATCCCAGCCGTATCACTGGTGGTCTCCACAACGCACGATCAGTTTGACCGCTAGACCCTGACCCACTAAATGGGTGGAAGTGCCAACAAGCCCACGGCTGCCCTTACCAATGGAAACCCCGCAGTGCGACCCGCAGAGATTGATGTTACTCTCGGAGATGGCGGCCATGCGGATCTGATCAAACGCTCGAGTGAAGAAGGTAGCAAAGGTGCTGGCAAAAGCAACAGTTCTGTCACGAGTGGCACATCCAACTGCAACGCTCACCTGCAAAGAGGGAACAAGAACAGAGAGTTCCTTATTTGTTGATTGTTTTCAAAAGAACATCTGTGGGAACTTCCTACTGTAAAATGTCAGCAAGAAGGTCTCAATGCAAGTTAAGAAAAAAAAATAAATCTGTCCAGTCCTGCTCCTACTGTGGCTTTTCCAAAAGGGGAAGGAGGCAACTCATTTTTCCCAGTATCTACCCTCCAGCATCTGCTCTACTCCTGGCCTGCACTGCTAGCTGTTATTGTCGATCTTTACTGGCAGCTTCTTTTCTTTATCTGCTCCAAGCAGTCATCCACAGAGTTTTAAAACTTATCCTCCTCTTTGTTTCCCTGGATCAAAGGCTTACACTTTCAGTCCAAAGGACATGGTTTTACTATCTCCAGCAGACAAACTATCATTACCAACTGAGAATGGGTTTACCTGGGTTATTTGGACTGGAATTTACTAGGAAGGGCCTTTCTTCAGCAAGATACAAATTAGAACAAGATCCCTAAGTTGTTTATTGCTACAAACAGCCCATATGTTTATTTTACAGAAAACATGGTCTGCTCTTTACAGCAAATTTCTCCTAAGCTGATGTAAATCCAAAATGCCTGGCTCAAGCTCTTGAAAGTGCCCTAGTACAAAATTTGCAAGACAGTCCATGGGTTCTTGGGTTATAAATCATTAAAGACAACAACAGATTTCTGCCTGAATTTATATATTGGCTTCAGTGAACCCATACAGGTGGCAATCAAAGACTCAGTCAGACATAGCAGCTATGCAGTTACTTTAGTCCTTTCTGTACAACTGTCATCAAGCTAAATTTATTAACAGCTTCTCTGCTGTCATCTTTATAGCCCAGCCTAGTGCAGAACTCATTGTCACATTGTGAAGTTCCATTTCTTGTAAAGAAAAAACTCAACCCTAAAAAGTATTTTCAGAGTTAAATCTCACAAATCTCCAAGAACAAATGGATGGTCTCAGATCTTGCTGCATAATACCAGTATTTCATAAAATCAAGAGACCAGTTACCATATTCTGTTCAGCAATGTAGCATTCGATGTAGCGATTGGGATGTTCTTTCTTAAAAAGCTCCGAGAAGGTGGAGTTCTTTGTGTCCCCATCCAAAGCAATCACTCGATCGTTAGCGTGGCCCAGTTTTGCAAGTGCAACACCGTAAGCTTTGCGAGTAGCCCACTAGGAAAAGAAAAATATAACAGTACTGTTACAACATGCTGTTTCTATAAGGTGGGGTTTTTTCCCCTCCCCTACTTTCTTGGTTTTTTTAAATCAGTGCACACACAAATCAAAACCATTTTAAATGTTATCAGTATCAGAAGTGCACATGGGAATAGTGACACACAGAACAGTAAACAATAAAAGAAAAATACAGTGAATCATCAGGACAAATAGCTGTGCTGAAATCAGCAACTCCCTATCAATCCTGCTAGCACATTTTGAAAATCTTGCTTTCCAATCATGGAAATTTGCTGAACCTTGTGGAATTTCTTTAATTTTAAATGCACATAAACTAACTTGGATAATTGATAATGATCATAAAACAAAGAAGAATGATTTGAGTCTTTTTAATACATCCTTTCAATACCCAATGAGTTGAATGCCTGTGTTTCACAGACATAGGTGTTTACCAGGATACTGAAGAGAGAAGAGGTGGGTACTTGAAATTGTGGCAAGGGATAACATAAAACCTCCTGCCACCTATTATAAAGTCCCACACTTTGAAGATACCTGAAAAACAGTGAAAAAGGGAGGGAGTACCTTTTCTCCCACTTTGTAAGTCGGTGGAGATGGCATCTTAATGTTTCTAATATTTACTATAGGTGCATCTTCTTCCGGGAGGGCTGGAGAAAGTTTTTTCTTATTTTGGATTTTGTCATCTATTTCCTGAATGACTTGTTCAGCCATGTTTTTTGGAAGGGGCTTTCCATGCCAACTTTCCTTATCTTCAACACCTGTGTATTTAAAGTTACATTACAAATAAGAATAATATAAAAACTATTTAAGCTTTTAGCTGCAGATTTTGCCCAGATAAAAGTGCAATGGAATATGCCAATCTAGTATAGTCTTCCAAGGAAAAACTTCCATATTATTTTCGCTGCATTCAATTGCCTTAAGACTGGTATGTTTAAATATGTAAGAGAAATAGTCAAATCCATATATTTAAAACTAGTGATGGAATTCCAGCATTTTCTACTAAAATTGTTTTTAACTTAATACCAAAGGAGACCTGGCCCATAAGTGTGGCAAGAAGTAAACAGTGAATCAGTGTGAACAGTTATCCTGAAATTTCGACAGTTATGCCTAAATAAACAAACTCTGCTAAGTTTCAAACAACAGTTAACCAAGCTGTCTAATTCAAACAAGATCTGATATTTTACAGCTTTATTTTAATAGCTTCTGATGACTCTTATCTTAATGCACCTGGCACTAACCGTGAAATTACCTCTCTGGCTGATGTGCTGCTTTTCACTGAGTAAGTGACTAAGAGTAATGGATTTTGCTTCTTTACTCAATGAAAAGGAATGAAGATATTCTCTTCTGTTATTAATATTTACCTTGTCAGAAAGACAAATTCACTGCTAAAAGCTGTAGCTGCTAAAAAAGAGTCTAAGAAGTTGCTATGAGCAGAATCACAACAGTACATCTGGCTGGATAATGTGAAAAACAGGGAGACACATCTTTGCCCACTTCCAACGAAGCACCAATCTAATGTCCTCCATAAGAAAAGGCATCAAAGTAAAAAAAACCACCAATATGGTGAGATTCTGAGTGTTCAGACTGTATGATAGTAGAGATCAAGTCAAAAAGCTGATAGGATACCAACCTTCTTCTAATGTATGAAACGTTAAACCTCTATATTTTTTAACAATCACACCTTCGTTGCAGCCCCACGTACATGTTTCCAGATACACGTGTGTGCAAAGCAGTGAATGTGTTATTACCTGATATGCCTTTGCCTTTAAAAGTCTTTGCAATGATCGCTGTTGGCTGATGTTTGGCCTGGCCAAAGGCTTTGCAAAGTTCCTCCACGCTGTGTCCATCAACGATGATGGCATGCCAGCTAAGAACACAAACACATCAGCTCTTTCTAAAGGGTTTTAGCATGTGATGCTCTGGTAGTTAGCAATAACAATAACCAATACTAACTTCATTCCGATGCAATGTCTTTTTAAGGGACCCAAAGTATGCCAGAAATATGAACTAGTATTTGAAAACACAGAATATCATAACTGCTTTTTTCTAATGCAAAATTAGTCACAGGGGGATTAACAGCTACTAGCAAAATTCACAGCCCACAGATAACTAAGTTATCCTACGTTTCTTCATACATAGTAGCCATTTTTTAAATGCAAGAGAAAAATCAAACATCTAGAAATCAGTTAAAAAACTGCCCCATCGTGATTTGCATGGCTGCTATAGTATCTGATGGGTTTTTATCACGGATTTTTGCATCTACATAGAAATATATATTTCTGAACTAAATGAAAGCCAATATAGAGCATTCTCTCACTTATAATTGTTTCCATGCCCTTTTTTCCTGACCTACTCACACAAACAGTTATAAAATCCGTACTAATGTGATAAAACCTGCTTTAAGATCCTCTAACAAATCTGAGTAAGCAGTCCTTTTATTTCTCTTCCAGCCAAAAAATTCTCCCACTTTTAATATTCCTGCTATATCAATACAGACAACCGATATCAGGCATTATGAAAGACCATCTTTCTTGATTATGGCACCCTTTAGAGCTGAAAGCTCATTCGAAAAATTCTAAAAAGCAAATAAACCCCAGAGTTTCAAATGGAAGACTACCCTGAGCTTCTTGCAGTCACGTACCCAAAGGCTTCGCAGCGTTTCTGGTATATTTCAACATGATGCTGCAGCGGAGCGGGGTCACTTTGTCCAAGACGGTTAACATCAAATATAGCAACAAGATTATCAAGCTTGTAAAACCCAGCAAAGGCCATCGCCTCCCAAACAGAACCTTCAGATAACTCTCCATCTCCAAGTAAACAATACACCCGATAGCTAGAAGAAATTAAAAATTTTTTAAAATATTAAGTTTGATGTGTAAGCACAATTAAATGAAAAGCCAAACCCCTCTAACATACTGTAGTGAGAATTCACTGCTTTTCCTATCCCAGACTCACCTCCCATTGCTCAATGCATTCACCCGAGATAACCTTATTTAACGTCAGACAAATTAAACTAAAATACTTCTGAGATTTACACATGAAAAAAAATAAGATGAGAAATACTCCGCTGCTTTTCAAACCTCTGTCTCAAAAATCGGGTCTTCGCCTCCTGTTGCAAGGCTTGAATGAACAGGCCCATTAAACACAGTCACTGTGACTCAGCAAGATCAGCAACAATGCAGGAAAGGTTCCTGTCTGCTTCCTCATTCCTACCATATACTCTACGGAAGGACGACCGATAATTTAGTTTCCAGAAACTATAGATCGGGGATGAACTCAGCTATGATTAAAGCATGTTACATAACCAGCACGATATGACTTTCTAGACTATTTCTCCTACCACTGAAACTTTTTATTTAGGTAAAACTCAGTTAGCAGGAATACTGCCTCATCTCTACAGGATTCAGCTGCTGTATTTTTCTTTTATCACCACTCTCTTTTTTACAGATGACAAAGCTTTATAAATGTTTGCTACCTATTAAAATTAAAGAAGAATAGTAAATTAGCTTTCAAATATATAATTTTAAGAGAAAATAATCAAGATGGCCATTAGTGACTGTTTTTTTCTCTAGACATTAAGCTATAACAGACTTCTGATCTGAATCCCACCAGCCTTCAGCTGAATCTGAACTCCTTTCACACAAGCTGCTCCCCAGTACTGCACACAAGACCACCTTTGCCTTCTGTCATGTAAGCACTAGTTAAATTTTTTCCACACGTAGCATCTGCTAAACTCAATTAAAATCAGCAAGTCATCTTTCACAGAAATGATTTCAAGCTAGTGAAGTGTAGGACATGTTAACTGGGCAGCCTATGCTCGAATGTACTAGAACTGTCACATAAAATATATCAACTACATCAGGCTATTTTGCTCCTCATACAGATTCGCCTTTAGACATCTACTTTTCTTGTGCACAAAACAACTGGCAGCAGCAGTCATTTTTGTCTCTGTGGAGTTGAGTGCCTTTCTGATAACATTCTGAAGCCCTGCTTTATGATTCAATGGTGATTCAATCGTACTCTTGCCCCTAACAGTTCCTTATCTAGATACATGTTCTCCATTACTTGTCATCTGACTTTGAAGACGCGCACCTCTGGTTTGCGTCCTCCTTCTGAGGGGGCACATGCCAGTATCAACATGGCTATCGATTACTGACTGGAAGTTTGAGGCTACTCTAACAACTTCTCTGTTCAGGAACATTACCTTGCAAAGCTGTCAGGTGACAAAAGCAACACATATATACACTAATTCTTGCTAATCTTTAAATCCTTGGTAGTTTTACTGGCAATGGCTTTGTAATTATCAAGCTAGTAATCTATCATTTAAAACCTGAATTTGAAATTAGATTTGGGAAGGGACAATAGAATAAAGGAGGTGGGTTTTCCCCTGACTGAGATAAAAATACAATTTCTTTTCACAAAACATTCCTGCTGAATGCCTATAACCATGGAATATGAAGATGGAATTACCTGGCTCTGTCAAAGAATTTGCCGGTGTACGCCATTCCGCATGCGGCACCAAGGCCCTGACCCAGGGATCCAGTAGCCACATCAGTGAAAGCTTGTCTCTGAGAGTAAAACGACAATTGTTTTACAGTGAAGATGGTTCAATGTACATCAAAATTCAGCTTCTCAAACCCCTTCAAATCCTGTTCCTCCTCTTCCTCTGCAATGCATGTACCTTTATGATCAGTGTCACAAACTAACTAGGCTCTCTGAGAGAGAATGGTACCTGTGGCCCAAGATCACTTATACATGTTCAGCTGTGAAGCCATAAATAACATCATCCTTCTTACAAGTCTTTATCTCTCCTGTACTGTTTCTGGCAATCAAGAATTGCTGCAAACTACATGCGTTTCTTGTCTTACAGAAAACATCATCTTTACATCCAAGGTTATGTGCACTCACTGGTACTGGGTGTCCTTCTAAGACAGAATCAATTTTCCTCAAATTCAGTAATTCTGCTTCTTGTAGAAAGCCAGCCTCTGCCCAAACAGAATATAAAATTGGTGCTGCATGACCCTAGAAAGAAACATAAATTTTAAGCACAGCACAAACTTCACAATATCATAGCATCAAGGCAAAATTCTACAAAGCTGACAAACCCTGGCATCAGGTTCTTACGTTTGCTAGGAACGCGGTGATTTTATAAAACACTTCTAACATGCAGCGTTCACACTGATGCTTGCTTCCAAGTCCCCCATGCCTATGCTGCGTAGACACCCCAAATAGCTCACTACAGTTAAGAGAGAAGGAATGTAGCACTCTCCAGGGTTGTTTAGGATGTCCTCAAGAAAAGCAACATGGAAGAGCAAGAAGGACTCTTCTCAGCCATGCAGGTTCAATTCCAAAAGGTAGTTTTGGTATCCAAATAAAAAACAAAAACCCAGAACAACCTGATTCAATCTGCTAAGGTACCAGTTTGAAGAACAGAGTGCTGCTCACTAAAGCAGTAAGCAGATGGATGAACAAGTGCTACACCATTAGAACTTCTTCAGTATGTATGTATTCAAGCAGGATGCAGTGAGTGACAAGTGGCAAAATGTTAAGCTTTGTGCACTCGGATGCTTGCAGTCAACTGCAAAGTAGCAATCACCTTCTGCCTGCGGAGTCATTAGGAGTCAAAAAAGCATGCAGAGGTCTGAAGTCATTTAACAACTCTGGGGAGAAACCCTGATTAATTAGGGAGAGGTAAAGAGAACACGACGAAGTGACTCTCCCTTGCTGCTTTACCACCTCAGCATTAGCTGCTTGCTTCAGAACGGCAATCGCGTCAGAAGGGGCAACAGCTCCGCTACCCAGCGCAGGGATCCGGTACACCACAAGCTACGCAGCACTGCCATAAGCCACAGCACGAGGAACTCTGCCTCCTCCCAGGAGTACCTCACCTGCCACTTCTCACAGCGCTGTGCTTCCTTAAGGCCTCGCAACCGCCTTCATGTCATATGATGGGAATGTGATTTGCAAGGGCACAATGCAAATGGGGGTAGAAGTGCTCATGGCCAGTCCAGATTACAGTTTTGTGTGCTTCCTGAACCACAGTGGCTTCAGATGTACTGACTTTCATAAACCACTCACTAACCTACCATAACCATTTCATAGACTGCTCCCTGAAAAGCTGACAGTAACTAGTGCACATTGTGACGTGACTGAAGGCGTAACAGCATGGCTACCTTTAAAAGTAGAGCCCAAAAACTAGCTGTGGCTTACTCGCTAGAGAATTGGTTACGCCAAAATGAAACAGATTCATACTACTTGACAGATTTTATAGACAATAACATTTGTTTTTTAATATTAGAACAACTTAACATAATGAAGTTAAGACTTAAAGACACATTATACAGACACTTTTGAATTATGCTACAGCTTAACCAGCTTTTGTCTTTCTGAAGTAGGCAAAATCCAAGCTCTCAAGTAGTTTCCATAGACTTCTGTGTAGATGCAAACATGGGTAAGCATAAGTCAAGACAAATCAATTTAATTTACAAACAGAGAGCTCTTCACTAGCAGACTGCAATGGTATAGCACAACAGTGTTTTACCTTTGAAAAAATAAAAGAAACAGTATAGCAGAACAGTTATTGGTTTACCTTTGAGAGAACAAACCGGTCGTTGCTGGCGTTTCTGGGATCTTGCACTTTGTACCTCATGGTATGGAAAAACAGCACAGACATGATCTCTGCTGCACTGCAACATGATGTAGGGTGTCTACAAGTCAAGACAGACGCAAGATTACTACTTCTCATTCTTGTTTTCCCAGGACCGTATCTTTAATATACCGCTTCACCAGTCCCCTACTCCTCAGCATTAAAATAGTGTCTTAAATGTTTTTGATAACCTGTCCCATCCACCATTAATTACCCCAATGCCAATTAGCTGTACTTCAAGACAGAGGGAGCCTTCTTATCTTGTTGAAGTGGATGTTAACAGACAGACCGTGTGACAGCTCAAGGACACATCTTTTAGAGCTCACCACTCTTCTTCCTCCCAAGGAACACCACCCTCATCAGGGCCTGTGAAGCACAGGAAGCAGTATGGCCCCGTGCCTGAAATCATACTCTACAGATTTATCTGGCGGCAGAGATTCACATCAATGCAGAGGAAAGACAGCTTTCCGCTGTACTCTAGTGACCGCCGAGTGAAGGAACTAAAAGCGTGGCATCGTGACCCTGTCTCTCCCACTGAACCACCTGGGATGGCTTTTGCAACAATTTGCAACAGCAGCACGAATGGACACTTGAGCTGTAACTTGCCTTAGAAAGACACAGGCACACGGTACCAACAAGCGATCACAAAGTCACACGAAAAGGGTCATTTCCGAGTGGCGAATACTGAATTACTCCAAGACAAGGTATGTATTTCATTTGAACTGTAATAGAAGGGCATTCAACTACTTTTACTTATCTCCATTACTGTAATTTAAATAACGACCACTGTACTTCTTATGCGCCTTGAAGGGATGGCACCACTCGTCCACTCGAGTGCATCGCTCTTGGCTTTTCACTTGTGATACAGCTTGAAAGGGGTGAGGAGGCTCTTTAAAAACCTTTATTGAGTGCGGAAAGTAGCATTTTTAAGATTTTACTGGTGTGAACAGGATCATTCTTGACATCAGTGGTTGCTACTGAAGTACAGGAAAGCGAATGATGAACAGGAAGAAGGTTATGGCTGCAGAAATCTGCACCAGCTTTGGAAATAACTCGCCCTCTCATCTCACTTTATCTTCTACCAACATCTTTCATCATCAGCACAGTACTCTTAAAATATTTGACTCTACTTATAAAACATGACAAACTTACTATGAAAGTGTCACATTTTGTTTCCCACATGTACATTTACCATGCATGTTAGGATTAGACAACACTTCCACTAGAACTTTAATTGGAATATTCTCTTCTGGTAGTAACAAACCTTCCCCCCCAACATCCCCAACAGTGCTGTAATAAGAGAATAAAAACATGCAAAACACTAGCAAAATACAAATTACGGTTAGTGTTCATCTCTTAGTAAGTACTCACACAGAGAGAACCAAAAGAATTAGCTTTAAACCATGGTTCAAACATATTAGTAAATATTTATGTATTTGAGTTAATCAATAAGCCTTACATGCTTGTTTAAAACTTTCATTCCTTTAATTTTATTAACTTTATACTTAACCATATACTTCTATGAACTCCTGGTCTCGGTAAAAAAAGTTTTAAACAACCTAAAAAGGTAACGTGTGGAAATAAAAAAAAAGGTAGAAAATTTTAATAAATTACCTGAAAATTAAAAAAATAAATAAAATTCTCATTAAAACTACAGGTCAATTAAATTACTTTCTACTAACAGAAATTACCCAAAATGTAACTACATATCAGATACCAGAAATCATTCTAAAATCAGCTACACAATTTTGTTATACAGCCATCCTAACTGCACCTACTCGTCTTCTATTAGCTCATACTTTTCTAGTAAGTTCTGTTAAAAGAATTTCTTGTTAAGCCTAGCAAAACGCACTTGGTTTACTTGTACAAGGAGAGGAAAAACCCACAAGCAAGTCACTGCCACTCTTCTCACACAACCTTCCACATCTTGTTCCTGACTGACGAACAACCTGGAACTTTGCAGGGATTAACACGCCAGAGAGCCAGAGAGCTTCCCCCAGAGAACTGCCCTGACTTTCAAATACAGCCCTTTGGTAAGAAAGCACACCCAAGCACATCGAAACACTGAAATTCTCGATCCACACAAATCCAGAGGAAAAGAGTCACTCCAATGTAGTTCTGTGGGGTTTTTATTTCTTATTCTGCATCAATTTCTATTCGATCCACCTGCACACATCTACACATTTCATCTGGTCACAACAGTGGTGGAATGTTCCAATGGAACACTGAAAGAAGAAAGCTAAAAAACTGAAGGAGAAAACTATTTGCAACAAGTGATTATACCACGTTATGAAACTTAACTGCCTCTTAGGAAATTTTTGCAACTTCCACTTTTAATGATTTAACCGTGTAATTCTAGGAAGCCAGGCACTGTTTCAAAACTGCAGAAATTTATCATTAGCTACAAGACGCTCTACCCCTTTTGATAAAAACATCTGCACTACTTATCTAAAAGAAAAAGTTCTTCCACACCCAAAAGCAAATACATCAATCTCCACAACTAACTTAATTTCTTTCCCCACCTATAAGGCATTTTAAGCACTTTTTTCCCCCAGGTCACTGTATTTTTCCACTACAGCTGGTAAAGTACTCAAAGTGGAGCATCTTCAGGATCAGACTGCCAGGTCTTTTAGCCCTTGTCCCAACAAAGGCTGTACTTTCTTTAACAAAAGTTAGTACGAGTAAAGACTGCAGGAACTGGTCAGATCTACTGCAGAACCACTGTGTTGCAACTTATGTTACAGGTTACAGAAGTAACTTCCTTGAAAGAAGCAGGCAGGTTCTGCTTTGTTTGAAGTGCTTTTATTGCACATATTTCCTTCAGTTTTACAAATTACACCTTTAACAAACACAGATTTCCTTAACAAAGTCAATGCAAACAGGACAATTTTTTTAATTCACTCTAAGCTTCTATTTAAACTTAACTCGCATTCAAACATGTACGCCAGTGATTTAAGCAAAGCTTACTGTCTCATTCAGGTTTTGGAAAACACATTCATAACGTATAGATTTTTATATGTATTTGATTTGTATTTCTATATGTATTTGATTTTGCCTAACACTGTAACAGACTCTGAATGTCTTTCAGGTACATTACTATACTGTCATCTTGGTAGCCAAATCTTATTAATTAAGCAAATACAGGACTTATCAACAGAATCTTCCCTCCAGAGCCCATCTTTCATAATCTGCTCATTATTAGGTTGTGTAATAAGTTCAGACTCAACACAACTCTAGTGCTAGAACAAACTAGAGGGATTAATGAAATGCCTTTGTGCAAGAAATACTCAGTATTGTAGCATACATGAACTAGCAATAAAAACCTTGAGTAAAACTATTTTTATTGTTTCTTCACCAGTCCAGGCACAACAGTTTTACTACTGAAATTTATGGACCACAGAAGAGAATCAAAGGCTGTAGAGAGACCCTTATTCCTTACCAGCACATCAGAGAAACAGCAGAAATAATTTCATACATGGAGAAGACAACTGATACCATACATCACTGTGGCCTATTTAAAACACACACTGGAAGCTCAAGTTTGAAGCCTAAGCTCTACTAAGTAGATTTAGTACAATTTTCTTACCTACATATTCACGCAGGCTTGTGTAAGACTGCCCGTACACTAGCTTTGAAACAAGTCAAGAATTAAAAGAGCAATTGTTGGGTGTTCCATACTTCTCTCCAGACTGGACCAAGCAAGCCACGGCTTTATAAAAACCCACTCCTAGCGTTAGCTGAGAGGACCCACGTGTCCCAACAGTCCATTTTACAGGAAGAACCAAAGCATCACTTCCATTTGCTGGATGCAAAAGGGACCAGTAAAGTTGGGCTGCCACAGGCTTGGAGCATGAGCCATGGGAGGCAGCCCGCGCTGGGGGCAGGCTGGAAAGCGCAAGGCGACTCAAAGCCTGAAAATATTTCAAACGCCGCCTTTCTCCAGCCAAACCTCAGCGTCCGAAAGGTTTCTTCAAGATTTGCTTGGCTTTTTAAAACACTCAAAGAGGAAATTGCGAGGAGATGGGATTAAAAAAAAAAAAGACACAGCAGCATTCTATACGGAAGCACTCAAATGTATTATTCAAGCAGAAAAACTGGCTTTAATTTGACATGAGTAAAAGCGGATGGTTTGCAGAGATTTTTTTCCATAGGTAACGCAGGATCAAAGGAAGGATAACGCTGGAATCTGCACACATCAGAGCCTGCCCTGAACCCCGTCCAGAGGCCTGAATAAACCGCCCATTGGAGACCGCGGGCATGTCACAGATAATCCCGCTTGGGGCTCACTTGAAATTCTGTGCAGAATTAGTTCCAACTGACGGGCACGAAATGAAAAAGAAACCGCTTTGCGCCTCGGGCACAAATTCTTTGGTTTCCAGGCCTGCACCAACTTAGCATTCCCGGCCTCTCTCTCCCCCC